AGATAATTTGATTGGCGCATGGAGCAGGCTATGGGAAAGCAGGCATGGTGGCAGCATGGGAAGCAGAGTGGCAAGGGCTGAAAGAGAAGTAAACCAATTTATTTACTATTTATAGAAGGGTGGCTGACCAACTAATTTGCTTGATTTCCTAACACTATAGTGTTCCTTTACGTTTTGCATAAGTGAAGCCAGGCTTTTGTGGCTTGATACCTTATATTTGGACACACAATGAGCCCATACCGCATCGCTTGATTGTACTCTATAGATAGAGCGCTTGCTCACTTGCTCAATAAATGGGAACTTTATAGCAGTTTTGCTAACAGGAAAATCTGGCAATGTACTGCCTCTATAGTAAATACCATGAGAAATATCCAGTGCTGATGGAACCATTTTCAGAACATTGTCCTGTTTTCCCATTATCAGCATTTTATATATCCCCCAAAAGCAAGCAAAACTGTAAAGCAGGGCCGGGTCCCGACTATCATGGTGGAAAGATGCGTTTTGAAAGAGCACCTCTACTAGCTTGCAAATTAATATGGTTAGCACTATAATCCGGGTAACCCGGGAGAAGTGGTAGTTTCCCGACCTACCTGACACACTAAGCAACGGTTAACCTTTCTTGCCACAGTAAAGACAGAGTCCTTCTGTCTCCTCCTATACAATTTTTCAGCTTCAGTGAGCGTGGTGACCCCTAATTGCATAGGTTCTACCTCTGGTACCTTGGAAATCATAGGAACTTAAACCTGAGGCGTAATGGATACTGTAAGGTGTCTATTTCTATTCCTGGTGTATTGTCTATCACGAATTCTATTGTCTATATCGATGAGATAGTCAATTAGATCCTCCGTGCGGCCCCCTCAGAAGGGAAGATTGATGAGGTAACTACCGCCACACTAGAGTAACAGCTTACCATAATCGTTGACACTTTCTTGAGGCGCCTGGAGAGCGTGATCGGTGGGAGCCAGTGGAGCAATGTAGCTCAGAGGCTTCAGCTCCAGCTATTCCTGAAACGCCCGCTGCTCCCAAGGGATTTTGGCGCTATGACCGAGGAGAGCCCGCACATCATGGAGGCGTCTAAAACACCGCAACACAGGAGAAGCCAAGCACAACTCACCTACAGGTCTGCTAGTGCAGTGGGCCTCTCCAGCCCTACACCAAGGGACTGATTCACTGAAGAGGCCTTTGGGGCCACAACTTGGCTCACCTTCGCACTCTGCACTGCTGCTACTGAGGCCTATGTCTAGGCCCTTACACCCGACTCCAGAGCACTCATCGTGGTCAACATGGACGACGGAACTGATCCTACATTGCCCACAAGTAATCACCTTGTGGGGCATGAAGCACCTCTTCATGCTGCTGGACTGTGCTCTGCCCGTGGAGGGCATCATCTGAGAAGGAAGGGGTAGTGGAACTCTATGGGACTCAAAGCCTCATGTTCTTCGCTTTATTATTTCTCCTTTTGTCTTTGAGAAGCATAATTTCACTTTTTTTTTCTTAGACTCACCGCAGCTGTACTCCCATTAACCCACTGACCACGCTTACAACCTATAATAATTGTATACTGGGGGGTGAGGGGAAGGCCTCTTAGAAGATACCACTGACCGTACTCAAGATGTCTTACACACATATGAGCCACACTTATCACTCTTTACCTGATGTCTCTCTTTGGCTAGATGACATTTATACCGCATATTAGTTGGACATGACTGACTAGCTTGTTCTTATTTTCAACCTCTTGAGTAACAATCTAATCTTTCCAAATACTGTATTTTTGCTATATATTTTGCTTTGTAGTTCGTTTACACTATGGCATTATCTGCTTGTCTGTTCCATTTATCTTATAAAAAGGTGCTGGACCCTCAACACTTACTGATACATGCTGATGACCATCTTGTAACCATTGCACTGTCATTTACAGCTTGTTAAGTAACAAAAGCACCACAAAAATAAACAACATTTATCTGTGTCTGCCACATCCCTCTGGTACCATTTTCACAGTGTGTTTCCTTACTTGCCTATGAGGGCTAAAATAAGACAAGAATCAAAGAAGAAAGTATTGTAGTGCTATGAATTCAATGACAAAATCATTGATGCATGCTATATCTGGAAGTCTCCTCACTAAACAGTGAATTGTGGTGAAGTGACAACACAGACCAAACTATGCTTTGTAAACCCCATTCCAATTCACAAGCCTCTTTGAATTGATCTGAATATCTCCCAAATGACCTGCATGACCCTCTAATTGGAGGCGAATAAGTAAGGATTTCCTTGTGAATTCATTTCTAAACTATCTCCCGAAAAACATAAACAAACATGTAGCTGGAGGGCAAAGTGATGATTAAAATTTAAACATAAATAACTAAATTAAAAAACACGCAGGATTTCCCTAGAGTCCCCTAACAATCAGGAAGGAGCCTGAACTACACCCTAAGAGCGCAGTTATATAAATGAGATTTTAAAAATGATGTGTTTTAGGAACCATCGTATAGCAGGTCAGCTATATAGAAAGATTTGGGAAAATAGATTGAAAGGGTGCCTGGCAGAATGGCTAATTTCATGGTTGGCAGTGTTTGATACAAAGGTTCTTATGCTCATTGCATAGATTATGGGTCAATGAGGTCCCCTGTTCACTTGCACACATTTGCTTATAACTGCAGAAACTATCAATTGCAGTTAGAAGCCTGGTGGTTTTTCTTCTGACGTCAGGAATGTATCTTTGGCCATTTATATTTAAATAACTCTTGCACACAGCATGTCATGCAAGACTCTACCTCTACTGTTCCACAAAGTTCTGTGGGAAATGAAGTTCAGCCCTGAAAAATAGTTCCAGAACTTCCAGTATATAGTTTTTTTTCAATGATGAGGCACATGGAGGTTAGACTAGTCACCCCATGGCACATGCACGTAGCTGTTTGCTCACGTTGTCTCTAAAAGCTGGAAAAGGGGTGAATAGATTGAACGCCACATACCTAACTAGCTCCTAACTTTACTAGCTTGCAAATATGACTCGCTTTATTGACTTAACCATCTGCAAACTTCAACTGCATTAACATACTAAACTCTGACTTAACAAAGTGATTAAACTAACTTTAATTGACTTAATACACTGAAGCCTAAATGACGTAACTAACTAAACTAGGCAACGCTAACCAGTTTATCTGACTGATCACACTAGACGGCAATTGTAACTTTACTAATTAATTACACTGGTGAACAGTTGTAACTGACGTAAAGTCACTAGGAACACTATACTTAAACACTACAGTTTCAAGAATACAAACATGTATTCCTGACACTATTAGTCTAAATAGCCTTTATCCCCCCTTGTCCTCTGTTAAAAAAAGTGGTTTTACTCCGCTTTTCCACTGCCCTATGGGTCTCCTTGCGACTGGATCATTTCACTCAATGATCTCAGCCAATCCCATGCTTTCCCACAGGAAAGCATCGGGTGGCTATTGTGCATGCTCTGCAAAATGCCACGCTGCACCAATCAGCATCGCCTCATAGAGATGTATTAAATCAACACATCTCTATGAGGAACGCTCAGCATGGAGACGCTGTTACAAGGTAGTCATGTTAATACTCTGAAAAGGCAGTATTTACAATAAAAACACTTCTGGGACAGGATATAGACACTAGAAAAAAAATACATTAAGCTTAGTTGTTTTGGTGACTATAGTGTCACTTTAACTAATAGGCTCTACTACTTGACATTTCTAAAAGATTTTAAGGTTTATAGTCACCAGAACTACTACAGCTTAATGTAGTTGTTCTGATGTGTATAGTAAGTCCCTGCAGACTTTTCAATGTAAATGCTGCCTTTTTCATAGAAAAGGCAGTGTTTACATTGTTGCCTAGCAACATTTCTTGTGGTAGTCACTCAGACGGCTACTACGGATGCTTCCTGTAGTGCAGCACTGGCATCCAGCGTTTCCATGCTCTGCATGCTGAACACTCCCCATACAGATGCACTGGTTCACTGCTGATTGGTGCAGCACTGTGTTTTTCTGAGCATTTGCAATAGCCTCCCAATGCTTTCCTATGGGAAATAATTGGATTTGCTGAGATAATCATGTTTGATGATGTCAGCCATGGAGGCGTTCAGGCGGGGGAGTAAAATCAAATTTTTATTGAGAGCATAGGGGGCTGTTCACCTAAACAGACATTTCAGGACTTCAGTGTCAGAAACACAATATATGAATTTCTGACACTATAGTGTTCCTTTAACTAACTACTCTGTGGTTGTGGCTTTCACTTTTTACCCAAGAGAGTAATTTGTTTTCTGCTACTTCATCAAAATGTAGTATGGTTTCAGCTATCTCAGTCACCAAGAATTATCTTTGGGGTGAGCAGGTTACTACACTTTTAGAAACAGATATTAATTAATAAATCTCCTCATTAACTTCAATACTAATTTAATTGCTCCATCTAGCTTTTCTCTGAAATTGCATAGTGTGTATTGTGTAAACGTCTTTGAGATCATTGACTTAAAGACCGACGTATAGCAACTTCCTCTTTGGATAGTGACGCATTCTAAAAATTAACATGTAGCTTTCAGGCACATGCAACACTTTTCCTTTGAAAAAAATCTAGCGTATAAAATGGGTCAACAGGTGTAAACAGAATTGGTTTCCAACAAAATCTAAAGACACCCTTCACCCTCTCAGACACTGCCTGTGCTCACTTATGATTTGAAAAGACAATGAATAGCGTTTATATCCTCATTAAGAAGTCTCCAACACAAGGAATGGGCTTAGTGCACCAGGAAATAATAAATATTTGTACATAGATCTGCACTGGGGGGTTAAAAGCATGTACTGCCCAGTGCTTAGTACACAATTTATAGTAGCTTTAAAAATAAAGCTTAACTCATCTATAGTTTAACACTTAAAGGGATACTCCAGACCCCTAAAGCACTTTAGTTCGCTTAATGTGTAAAGAGTGTGTCCTCTATAGTGATGTCGCGAACTTGCCGCGAACGGTTCGTGGCGAACTCCGGTCAGCTGACACATCCCTGCCAATCTCCGGCAGACCCTCCCTCCCAGACCCTCCCACCTCCTGGACAGCATCCATGTTGAAGCTGCCTTCAAAATGGATGCTGTCCAGGAAGTAGGAGGGTCTGGGAGGGAGGGTCTGCCGGAGATTGGCAGGGATGTGTCAGCTGACCGGAGTTCGCCACGAACCGTTTGCGGCAAGTTCGCGAACGGTTCGCGACATCACTAGTCCTCTATTTCAATTTACAAAACACGCAGATTTCAAGAGAAATTGACACTTTTATAAATGATTCTTGTTACACCCCCTGGCTGTAAATCAGACAACCGGTCCTGTTACTTCCTGGTTTGGTGAGCTCAGTGGAGCTAAATTCAAGAGGCAGCAATTGCCTAGAGGAACTGCCTTGCCAAGACTTCTCATTGAGCTGAATTGGGAAGTCTGTGATCGGAAAGTCACAGAAAGGAGGGGTTAGAAGGGGATATGTAATGCATTCTAATGAGAAAATGAATAATTAAATGCATTCATGTTTTCTTTGGGGGTATATCTACCAAACAGTGAGATAGATAGATATTTTATTAATTTGAAGTGAGCTGAAGTGGTCTGGGTGACTGTAGTGTCCCTTTAATTAAAAATTGACCATTAATTTGGAAGTCATTGAACCCACTATTTTGGGTGCCTTGTCTAAACCATAGTGGAGTTGTCTGGTAAAATTAGGACTAAAGTAGGTTTAAGAGTTGGAAACAATTTTTCAGCACTGGTTACTCTGACCTAAAACCTTGTTAGTTTTACCACAACTTGCTATTTTGAACTGACCCCAGTGTTTCTCTGATCAGATCCATATACCCTTTAATCTTAGCATGACTCAAACTAGTTGCTAATCATTCAGAAAATGGGCAGCTGGTAATCAAAGTGGACAGACACACTCTGCTTCAATCATTATTAAAGAGCCTAACTTAGCTGCGTGTTTCTGCATGTTAGTATTATGGATTCTCAAACGCACAAGGAATTTAGAGAAAGACAAAAGAGTTTTTCACAAAAATGTCAGATGACAAGGACAAAACTCCACACTTGATGAACAGGAAGTGTACAAAATAATGTTTTTTTTTCGAGAAAGAACAGTGTTGAAGAGCCTCCCAGCAGACTTGGCAGAAATAGTAAATCTAAGCAGAGGAGATTAGGCAGTCTAATGTCCTCTTTGTAAGAACACTAAATTAGACCTGGGTTCCCTTATTGAGACTTTTTTTTCAATAATAATAACTTTCAGTTCAAAGGAACAGTATAACAAGCATACATGGTAATTCAATAAACTGAACACGGGGGCCTTAAATAAATAAACAATGGAGGGGGGGACCTAATGCTTGCTGTCATTTAAAACTACTAGTGACTGGGCAGCTTAAGGGTGAGGACCGGGGGGGACACGCGGGTCACGGGTGGGGGAACGGGACGGGATTATGCCTTCCCCATTTTAGTTATTTGTGTTCCCCACCATAGGGGGCATGCGGGAAGATTTAACCTCCCTTTTATCAATATGGGGGTCATGGTGACCCCCATACTGATTTATATTTATTTTGAAATTACAGTGAGCAGCCACTGACCATGAGTAGGGGCATGTGGGAGGATTTAACCTCCCTTTTATTAATATGGGGGTCATAGTGAACCCCATAGGTTTAAATGGGGGGAGAGGGGGGAGGATTAGGAATGAATCATGTTACAAGGAGGGGCTGGTCCTGTTTTTTTGTTTGGTTTGGTTTTTGCGCATCCGCAGTGTAATTTTCTCCGTGCTGTGGGGGTTAATTCCCCTGCAGCACGGAGTCTATTAACCCCTTAAGGACCAAACTTCTGGAATAAAAGGGAATCATGACATGTCATGTGTCCTTAAGGGGTTAAACGGACGAAACGGTAATGCATTCGCCCTTTCGTTTATATTTTGTTTGTAGGGTTTTCGTTTTAGTAAACGAATACGAAAAAAACTGAATTTTCGGATGAAATCGAATTTGTGCGAAACAGAATGCACATGTCTAATCCACACCACCACACACCATACAACATATAACCCACACACACACAATCTTACAAGCAGCCCCCCTAAAAACACACAAAGCACACGATACACATCTCACAAATATTTTTGTTATATACAATACCACAAACTGCTCAGGCACATACACATTATAATATAGCCCAAATACAATGCAGCCGCATCACCCATACATAACACAAGCATCATAAAGCAACACAAACACAAGTTAGTCAAAACACAAAAGTAGAACAGACACATCAAGGGTTCAGTCTTCTTCTGGCAAAGTGCTTCTAAAAGATTGCCCACACCTTAGTCTAGTTTATATTAAAGAGAAAATTTAAAGAAGTTAAAAAAAAAAAAGTAAATTATCACACTCAAAATGTATATTGTTCCAGGAATTCTGCACTAGATGAGTGAGGTTGCTTGTTTATTTGAATCTGTGCATTTTCTGGTCAATGACCAGGACTTCAGTTCCAGAGGTATTCTAAGGCTTACATAGCATAATCAAAATACAGCTTTAATATCAAATTGGCTGAATAGTTATCAAATTCTCATGTTTCTCCCTGCAGTCTCACTGAACTTGGCTCAGTGTACTATTTCATAAGCTATTACTGACCCTTTCAAGTGTACTTCTAGTTAAATTTTTGGAGGTTCTTAAATGGTTATGGGTGGTGGGAGAATGATCAAGAGAGGAGAGTTTTTGAATTCTTTTGTTTTCATTCTTTTTATTCTCTCATCAAAGATCAATGCACATATATGTGGATATGTGTGTGAAAAACAAATAAAAAATTTAAATGACCAGGATTATTTTAATTGAAGAAAAAGTGATGATGTGATTTGGTAGATTTTGACAATGTGTAGGTGAAGGCTTAGCCTTTAAGCTTGCTATATTTAATTGATAATATCATTGTAGGAGTTGTGGTTTGGGGTTGCGGTGTGTTATGCGTTCTTATCCCTGTGGTTTTTATTTGTTTAAATTAATTAATAAATCCATTTTCCATGCTTATATATTCACTAAATACAAAAATGAGCAGAACTGAAAAGGGGATTAGAAATTTTAGGCCACCACAGATGAAAAGTTCAGCTGTTGTGGCTGAATATTGTAAAATCTCTGGTCAATTATTCACAAATTTATGATTTACTGAATAACCCAATGGTGTTTATTTCCTGGAAAGGGAATTGTTAATAAAAAATGAATACCAAACTGAAAGGGTAAACAAAAATAATATGGAAAAAGTTTTTTTTTTTTTGTTTAACTAGGTTTTCAAATTCCATTTTAAATTCACAAATTTGGTAACAATATCCAATGTGTTTTATAGAGTTCCATCTCCATTCTGAGGTTTCGACAATTATCTTTAACTAAGGAAAATGTGTTTAAAAAAAAAAAAAAATCATAAAATCTTTGCTTTCTAAGTATCATAAGGAATGCAAAAGTGCTAAATCCGTCACATATAAGAGAGTCTCTACTGACAGTCTTTAAGGAACTTCTGCTGCCACATGAATAGCGTGGGAAGTAGATGGACTGGCCATGTTCTAGATTGCAGCTCGATTCTATTATTTTCCACTGAGCTGAGTTAATCTATTAAGATATTGTGGCACGGTTCAATAACGAAAACTTAGTAGACATGACTGATGGAACAAAATGAATACTGCAAAAGCTAACAGGTTTCACTCTGTCAGCTAATATTTATTTATTACAGGCATTTGTAAGGAGCCAACATATTCAGCAGCGCTGTACAATTGGGGTACAACATACAATATGCACAGACCAATGCAAAAGGTAAAGAAGGCCCTGCTTGTGAGATCTAAGAACTAGCCATTGAGGCTCTTTTATACAAAGTGCTTAGGTGGACAACCTGTAAGCTTAAAATCTAAAGGATATCATGGGGATTTGAGACAAGAAGTAATTGGGGGAATTTAACTGAAAAGTTAGAGCAATACATCTTGCCAAATCTGACTACAGAAGTATTTGAAATAGAGTATGGCAGTATGCAAAGGAACCCTGTACAGCAATAAGGCACTGTGATTGGAATAATAACTTCTTCACATGTATCTATTTATACTTTCCAAATCAGAAACACAATGTATCAGATAAACAAACACAGGACTAATGGTGCTAAATGTTCTCTTCCTAGTTGAAAGTTAGCTTATTGAAAAAGAAGCTGAGAGGTTAAAAAGAAAAAATAATGTACTAATTGAGGTTCTCATTATTCTTGCAATTCTGGACAAATCTGGAAGGCCACTTAGAGGGCTAAGAACTTCCATATTACCTTAGAAACAGCAAAGAGTCCCTCTTCTTGTCGAACAGTTCCAAACAATTTGATGGTTGAAAAAAAGGGCCAAAGATTCCTTGCACTATAACTATTATAATAAGCTGTAGTGGCTAAGGTGCTTATTGTGCCTTTAAGAGAAATCTCCAACACAACAGAAGTTCATGAGAAGGTAACGTGAATCTACATAAAAATGTTTCCAACTCAGCAGAAATCTAAGCGAGAACATACACATAAAGAGGCAATGCAAATGTTATGAAGGGTACACAACATACAAATCTGTCTAGTTAAATGGTAACAAGCGGAACTATATATGTGGAAGCTAGTGATTGTTATCTTATGTGCTAAAGACACACTACATCTTACATGTAAAGAGAATTTCAATTTTGTGTAAAAGTATACCACAGAGTACTTGAATAGAGAAACATATTGGCGAAAAGTTTTCTTAATTATTTGACACTCATTTGGTGATATAACCAAACGATGCAAAATTCTTCTTCTTATCACTAATCAACCTTATAGCTTATTTTTTTATCTTATGCTAATTTGTTTTTACTGTAACCATTTTTACTGCACTTTTTGTCAAAGTGTATCTTAGAACAGCAGGAAGGGACAGTAAGAGATGTAGTCCTTAGAAGTAATCATATTTATGACTCCCCCAGTTTCCTGGCAGTTAAATCAACCCTAGTTTTACTGCCCTAATAGTTTAATGACAGCTGCCGTCCCTTTCATACATTCACAGATCCGAGGATAGCATCCCAGATGTTTGTGTTAATAAAGTCTTGCAAACATCTAGTCTTGCAGGTATACGATTCAAACCTCCCTTGCAAAAGTGCTTTGTTTTTTCTTTTTTCCCACAGCCAATCTATGGCAAGATCATTACCA